TAGCAGACTTACTCCGGTGGGCGAGGACCATGAGTAGCCCGTGTATGTGGTCTCCAGCCCTAAAAGAATGACATATTATTACAACCCAACAGGGATCAGGATTAAAATACATAGTTCTCTCTTTCAACTTCCCCTGGAATGTTTAAAATCAACACCTCCAAGTATCTGTCTGACTGAGATACTACTAACAAATGGACAAAACAAAAACTTTTATTTGAAAGCTGATTCTTACAGATCATGAGGCTAAGACACTGAATATTCATCATGACAGAAATATTTCCAGCCTTTAAGAATCCAGAACCCAGGTAGTATCCACATTAGCTATTAATAACGCATTAAAAATAGCCCTTGTTCCTGAGACTTTGTACAATCACTGCTCACAAGGTTTTAGGTCACATCGTCCTTGTTGGTTGGGAACCAACCCCTCAGCCAGCCCTTAAACCAAAACCACAATACTGACAGCCAGCTGGCTCACATGGAGCTAGCTCAGACCCCAAAGAAGCCCTGATATTTGGTGTAACTGTATCATCTCAACTTTAGCATAGCAGTACATCATGATGACTAGGCAGCTTGTGTAATCACACTGTTTATTTTGCATGGCTGTGTACCACACAGATCTCCAAACTCAACTGAGCAAGAACACAGCAAACAGAAAGGACTCGAGCCAAAGCTCCATCTACCCCATTATGGCTTTCTGAAAACAGCCAAGAGCAAATCCCTAGGGAAGACTCTACGACAGGGGCAAGCCCCAACTGGCCCCTCAGTCTTAAAAAAACGTGGGGCCAGCATCTTTGTTTTCACTCTTCAGCTCAGAGGTCTCAGCATCACCGTCTGAACTGAGCAGACAGCCTGTTTCCAGAAGTGGACTAACACCTTTCACGATCTGAGAGCAGTCACAAAACTGTAACTCCTTTCCCGCCACACACCCTTGTAGCCTGCTCCTGAAAAAGAAGTTCACAGTTCAGCAACACTACCCTCTAGTGCCTTCAAAAAAAGGGTATTCGGGTCTAAAAAAATAAAAAAAAGTTTCTCTCCAGGAAGGTCGCACATAATAAACACCACCACCTGGTGGTCAAGTATGTAAAATACCGGTAGGAGATCTAACACAATTTAGTCTTAAGACTAAATGCAATGCATTCAATCACAAGTGTGTAATTTTTCTGTACCATTTCAACCGTGATAAGATGAAGAACATACCACATTCTAGATGTTAGTGTCTTAACGTAATTCCTCTTCCAGAAGTCATCAAACCAGGAAGAAAGGAAACAAAAATCATTCTGAAGACTGTTCACATTTACAGGCTGAAGCACATGGTTTCAACCTAATCTTAATCTATGACTTATTTTTGCAAGCCACCAAGAATCAGATGGACTAGGGAGCCTAAATTTGGAAACTGAGGGGCACAGAAAGAGAAGAAGAAAGCAGGGAGGGATTAGAGAAAAATGGGCATTTCTTGTCTTTTACAACCTATGCTAAATGCCCCAAATGCTGTTGTCGTGTACAGGTATTTCATTCTCAAAAGACTGGTTAAAAGGCAGCGTTATAAAACTGATGCAGTATCGTTCACAAAAGGTCAGTTTTCATTCCAAATCAAACAAAAAAGGAAAACAGCAACTTGGCAGGCAAACTCCAAGAATTCCTCATGTGGTCACCCAACAAATAAGGAAGTTAAATGGGTGCTTGGGGCCCGAGGGAAGATTACCAATTAACATCGACATAAAGTGCACAGTATCTGTGAGAAAAATCAACTGTTATTAAAAATATTAATATTTACCTTAGCTATACTAAAAACAACGGCCCTCAGAATCCAAGACCATATTTGTACTAATTATGCTTTCAAAAGTTAGCCTGAAACTTTCTGCTTACAGTGGTCTTGTGAGGGTTGCACACCTAACATCTCAAAATGTAGAAATGCAAAAAATCTTCTGAAGTATGATTAAAATATTTGTTAAAATGTGAAAGTAAGGAAGGAAACAAACCACAAGGCTGCCATTAACACACCTGTTTCTTCCCCCTTGATGACAGCCAGGTCTGCCTTCGAGGGGATGCAGCAACTCCTTTAACTTCCAAATCCATGCAAATTCAATGGCAGCCTTCAGAATAAACTAAAAAACAGTAAAGGCTATTGAGAAAATTGTGTATTTTTTACAAAAGTACTTCTGCAAATAAACGATATTGCATTAGAAAAAATGTGCCCATCACCAATGATTTGGGTATTGTCGTCAGCAAGCTATGAAAAGCTTCCCTTTTTCACCACCTCTTCATTTCAGTCTCTCCTTGCTAACGCTTAACCAGATTCCTGTTCAGATTTAAGCCTTTGCCTCACATTTAACTCCCTCGTTCCCTTACACTTCTCTTGATTCCTTCTCACACCAGCATTACTGATTTGCTACCCCTTGACAACATCAAACCTTCACTCTTCACTTACAACTGCTGCCTGGCTCTCAGCTGCACCCTGCCCTGGGACCAGGTGCTTTCAGGAAGGCACACGGGCCCTCCTGGGGCACAGCCAGCCTCGCGGAGCTCCAGAGCGATGTTTTACCAGCATGGTATCTCCTGCTCCGCTGGTTCCTCCTTCCACCCAGCCAGTTTTGAACCAAAAAGCCTATCGCTTATTTCCCAGAAATCAGACGCTCCATTTTCAACCCACCACCTACAAAAGCCGCCCCTGTTTCCACCCACTGAGCAGGTTTTAGCTCCCAAGAGCGAAGCAGCAGCACGGCTGCTGGGCCCGCAGGGAGCCCGGGCGGCCTACCAGCTGTACCCC